GGGTGAACCTGTATTTCTGGATTCAAATCAATGAAATGACAGTTCCCATCCCACAAGGTTCTCAAGGTCAAGACTTTTGACCTTAGACTTAGTTTTTGACATGGGCCTAGTCCACTACAAAATAAACTATGAACAAGAAAACAGCATTACATTTTGACAGCATTCATACAATTAAACAATGTAGAAAAAACCTAATAAAATGCACAATAATAATAATAATAATAATAATGAATTTAACTTGTAACGCACTTTTCATTAACAAAAATCTCAAAGTGCTACAGAGTGCAACTAAAATCAATGATAAAATCAATTAAAATCAATGATAAAATCAACTAAAATCAATGATAGCATCAACTAAAATCTGTGATAAAATCAACTAAAATCTGTGATAAAATCAACTAAAATCAATGATAAAATCAACTAAAATCAATGATAAAATCAACTAAAATCAATGATAAAATCAACTAAAAATCAATGATAGCATCAACTAAAATCTGTGATAAAAATTAACTAAAATCAATGATAAAATCAACTAAAATCAATGATAAAATCAACTAAAATCTGTGATAAAATCAACTAAAATCAATTAAAATCAGTGATACAATCATTTGGAGGCAGAATAGTCTTGCTTTAAAAGAAAAGTCTTTAAGCTTTTTTTTAAAGTCAGTCAATTCATTCAACCTTTCAATGATCGTGGAGCTCTCAGATATTCAGGGAGGGAGTTCCAGAGGCGGGGGGCAGCCACACAGAATGCCCGATCTCCCATGGTCCTTAATTTAGTCCGTGGAAGGAGAAGGAGATGACTGTTCTGTGATCGTAGGGACCGGGTGGATGAATATGGAGCAAGAAGGTCCTTCAGATAATCTGGTGAATTTCAGTTTAAACACTGATGGTAATGAGAGCAACTTTGCACTGAATTCTGTAGGGACAGGAAGCCAATGGAGGTTATGGAGAATGGGTGTAATATGTTCAAATTTACAAGCTCTCAATAAAATCCTGGCTGCACTGTTTTGAATATATTGAAGCTTCTGAAGGTTTTTGCCGGGGACCCCAGTAAAGAGGGAGTTGCAGTAGTCGAGCCAAGCAAGCAACAAGCAGTGAGGATCATCTTAGGCATCATCATTTCAGCAGTCAGACATGACAGATTGTAAATCCTCAACACCTTTGTAACTGAACTCAACATTTCTCATTCAGTCTGGCTTAATGAGGAGGTTTATGCTAAACAGGATGGATAAACTTCCACACAAAACGTGGCCAAGCTTGTAGCATCACTGTTAGGAAGAGAAAAAACAAACAAAAAACACACTTTCCATGTGTCCATGTGAACCTGAGAAGATTTAAACCATTTAGAAAAATCCTTGTAGGTCCTCTCCTATTAAACAAAGTACTTTTACATTAAATGAAAGGTGCTTAAATGATTTTGCTCCTCTCATAATTTCCACTAAAAGACACTGTAGTTGCAAAACTTATCTCCATCTTTATTTTTTAAATAACTTTTAAGACTGGCATTAAGGATATGATATAATCTAACTCAAAAGAGCACGATTTAAAACGTTTTATTTCGGTTAATGGTTGTTTTTGTGACACCTCCTCACCGCTGATCCGTGAAATCGTCCAGTTGCGTCGGATGCTGCTGGGGAAGTTGGGCAGCTCGAAGACAAAAGGTCCAGCGTTGGGATCTATGTCAGCATCTGCAGCGGTGATGTTGACACCGTTGACGTTCTTGTTCATCCTTTCACAAATCTGAGACTCCCTGGGTACGAGCGCTGGGGGGTTGTCATTAATATCTATCAAGTAGATCTGCAGCGTGCCTGTGCCGCTGGCTGCAGGAGAGCCTGAGAGGAAGAACAGAGACACAGAGAGAGAGAAAAAACATTATATCATGACAGCAGGAAAAGATGACAAGAGAAGATGGGTTCAGTGAAGGGGGTACAGAGAGGAAGCTGAAGGCAGACAATGGAAAGGTAAAAAATAATGAAGTAGGATTTAAAAAAAAAAAGAATTGGCACGAAGGAGACATAAATGAGCATTGCTCATTCACAATGATCTTAAAGATGTGAATACTACAAAACAAGAGGGCATTTAAAACTTTTGACAGAAATACTTTTGACAAGTTTTACTTTTTTGTTCGTCTTTTGGCCTTAAAACTAAATCGTACCCATCACAGTCGATCCAGGTGCAGACACAGCACATTCACTCACCCGAAGAGGGCTTAGGTCCAATAATGATGACTGTAATGCAACAAAACAGGGTTTTGTTCTTGTGTATTTACAAACTACCATGAGTCATCTATGGTTTTGGACATAGAGGTGCTTCTTCTTGCAGTTTTATCAGTGCATTTCTGAAAGATGAACTCTTTGAAGAGTGTATTTGTGTTTTTATATTATATTCATGATCACCCCCAGCCAAAGGCAAAAAAGCCACTCATCACTAAACAAAATGTTAATGAAATTTTCAGAAAGTAGTCACTGACATGCCATCTACAAATTATTATTTATGTTAAAAAACTAATTCAGGAGAGCCCTAAGGCAAATTGACCTTAACCTATTGAAAAAATAACTACGCTTCAGGGAATTTTACAGATATTTTACTAAAATGTTTTGTGGTAGTAGCTGAAGGTCATGTACAGCACATATGTTAAGGGCTAAGAGATCATTCAACAAACAGAAATATTGTGTAAGATTGTGCATATCAATATTTTCAATGTATGACTGAAACGGTTACTGGTATATCTGTGAGAACATGAAGCAGGTGGAAGAGAACATAGAGATGTGGAGGTACGTACTCGAAAGAGGAGGAATAAAAGTCAGCTGATGCAAGAGTGAATATGTGTGTAAATGGGATGGAGGCCAGTGGAACAATGAAGCTACCAGGAGCAGAGGTCACAAAGGTGCAGGAACTTAAGTACTTGCGGTTCACCGTCCAAAAAAATGGGAAATGGACTGCACTTATATAGCACCTTTCTATCTTATCAAGATACTCAAAGCTCGTTACAATACAATATGTGTCCCCATTCACACAGCACTTTACTAGGTCTGTACAAAGAATAATCAGTGCTTTATCACATTCATTCACTGATGGGACACACATCAGAAGCAATGAAGGGTTTAGTGTCTTGCCCAGGTACACTTTTGCATGTGACTGCTGGTGGAATCAAACACCCAACTCTCCCATTGGAGGACAACTGCTCTAACCACTCAGCCACAGCCGTCGCCTAAATGGGGTAAAGAGGTGAAAAAGAGAGTCCAGGCAGGACGGAGTGGATGGAAAAATGTTTCAGGAGTGATTTGTGAAAATAGGGTGACAGCAAAGGTCTAAGGAAAGGTTATAAGAAAGTACTGAAACCAGTTATGTTGCAAAGTCTGGAGACAGAGATGTGGACAAAAAGACAGGAGAAAGAACTGGAAGTGACAGAAATGAAGATGTTGAGTTTCTCCTTAGGAGTGACACGGATGAATACGATTAGGAATGAGATCATCAGAGGTACATCACAGGTTGAACAACTGGGAGATAAAGTTAGAGACCAGACTGACATGGTTTGGACATGTCCAGAGGAGGGACAGTGGGTATACTGGTAGAAGGATGTTAGAAATGCAGCTGCCAGGAAAAAGACAGAGGAGATATATGGATGCAGTTAGAGAGGACATGGAGGTAGATGGAGTGAGGACAGAGTGAGATGGAGGAGGATGACTCGCTGTGGAGACCCCTGAAAAGGGAAAAGCCAAAAGAAGAAGAAGAAGAAGACGAAGAAGGGGAAAAAGGGTTATCTTTCTGTAATTTCTTAAGAAAAGATGATCTTAGTCTCTGTCATATAAAATGGTAGATCTTTGTTTTTCATGAACATGTTCTGCATCATTCTTATAATCGAGTTAGCAGGTCAAACTCTCCTAAATGTTTAAGGTTGTAATTTTATCTGCTTAACACTGAGTAACTTTGACATGGCAATTCTTGCAGCACAGTTGTGCTGATTAGCAGCTCTTCCAACTTTGGGTTAAATGACTCTGAATTTCCCAGAAATGTTGGCTCTGATCCCAGATTTTAAAGGAGAGGAAACTAAACTGTTCGAGGCGACTGGTGAAATTTGCTCTGATGCTTCTTTAGGCAGGCTATTACAGACACTGTTTCAACAACAATTCTGTCAGCCTTGGACTGCAATAACATGCACTGCTGCACATAGAAACACTCTCCCCTCATCTACAGACACAATTTTGAAGGCGTTGCATTGATTGAACACAGCAACAGGCCATCAGCAACAGCATTTACAGAAAATTGGGAATAAAGAATAGACACTTTAAACAATCAGGAAGTGAGATAGTGGAAGCAGATGTGTAAATGTGTATGTGCAGAGCCAAAATGTGGCACAGAAGAACGGGGGTGTGGGGGAGGGGATGAAGCCTAGGAGTGCAAAGCTCAGAGCTGTTTATTGAGTGTGTGCCAGGGGGTGACGACCCCTAGCTGCCTCCAATTATGAGTCATTTCCATGTCATGCCCCAGTGGCAGAGTCATTGCATGGACTCCAGTGACCTCAAGGCCCATCTCTGGATCAGATAATGGCAAAGTAATTTACAAAGATTTATGCAAAGCTCGCAGATTTGGTAATTAAGTGCAGCAACAGAGCAAGAAATTTGCTACGATTAAAAAACTCTAGATGGGTTAAAAGGTAATTTTCTGATAGTCTGAGCTCTGTCAGGACAACATATATATTTGGAGTTATATTAGGTACAACTGCAAAATGTACATATACTTTTTTTAAAATAGGATTTGAAACATTCTCAATTGTCAAATGCATTTTTTTGAGGGCATATGTTTGCCTTTGTGCTTGCTCAGGATGGGAGACTGCAATGAAGTGAAGGTTCAGTGCAACCTGCTGGCTTCTGGAGATAGATAACTTTTACTAATTGGATTTATAAAGTATGTGGATGTTTTTGTTCAGTGCCCTGAGACAACTTCTGTTGTGACTTGGTGCTATATAAATAAACTGAACTGAATTAATAAAGATCCATTAAATACAACATTTTTTTGTCTTTAGAAGCATGTAAAACTTTGGATAGCTTGTTTTATGTATCAAAACCAATAAAATGTTGCAGTTTAAAATCTGATATACAGTACAGTAGCTATTGACAATACCCTGCACTGCGCACAAAAATAAAAAACTATTTGGAAGAACATATTTAAAAATAGGGTATCTGAATTTCTATCTAAATTGATAAACTGCTGCCGCACTGTGACTGATTTTTCCTCCATGATGTTTCATTGTTACTTAATAAAAAAGTGCTATGTGTTGTCATCATTGTATGTTCCCATATAATGGCAAAATTAGTTCTCTGCATTTGGCCCATCACATGTGGGATGCATCCAGGTGGGGCGGTGCGGCTATGTGGGTGCCCAGGGACATAGGCGTCGCAACCATTAAATGTGAAGGGGATGTGTCCCCTCCACATAAAAAAAAAAAGTTCATTTGGACCCCCCACTTTTACTATAAAACATTAGTCAGCGCTGTTTCTCTTTCTTCGTGAACAAATCCATTCCACTTGAATAATAGGAGAATACTCAAACCACTAAAAATCCACTCCAGGTTTTCCTGATTACTTCCAACTCTCCACCAACCTGCACTGTTTTTCCTGTGCGTCTCCTGCCTCTGCAGAAAATGTGCACAGGTGAAGGAGATGGAGGCACCTCTGTGTTGATCGCTCGCCAGTTTAGCGAGCTTACTGCTGGCAGTTGTTGACCGGGGGGTTGATCATAAACATATAGGATGATGCTTTGAGAGAAGTGCAGCGCATCTTAGCTTAGCAGTAACTGTGATGCTGTAAGAGGCTGCAGGTGTAAGAGACGCTGTGTGTTCAGGTGCATTAAAGTTGAAATGTCTTTAAAACCCCACACCTTATTGTCCTCAAGCTTCACGAGAAACATCATTTAGATGAGTAGTGTTGAACACAAGTAAAAAAGTCCAGTGGCAATATTTTTTATTTCTCTATAAACACAAATAGTGCCGATCAGAAGTGCATTAAAATTCAAATGTCTTTAAAACAGCTGAATTTACACAAACTTGGTGAGAAACATGCTTTAAATGGAATTAAAGTAAGGAAATAATAATAATAATAATAATAATACTTTATTTATAAAGCCCTTTAAAACAACCACAGCTGCCACAAAGTGCTGTACATATAAAATCAAGAACATCTAAACACATAAACACAAATCTAGAAGAAATGTTGCTTTTTTGTAAACTATTGTAGGCCTACAATTTTTTGCACACTGGTGTGCATTCACACACACACACACACACACACAGAATAGTGTCCCCGCCCCCCACATTAATGATGCTTCTGATGCCCATGCCCAGGGGACAGTTGGAGACTGGGTGTCTTCAGAGGCACCACAACATGTGGGTATGATGGGGGGTTGAGCCTCGGCTGTCTGGTCCCAGGTTGGCTGCCCTACCTCTACACCATCTTGGCCCCAGTGTTGCAAAGTTGTTTTGCACTGGTATTTTACCATGAACTTCATTTTAGAGTTTAAAATAATAAATCAAAAGAAATAGGTAATAAGTCAGAAGATTTGTCATGGCTTCGGAGTTTGGTTTTGTTGTTTTGAGACAGGCTCTGTGATTGGCTGGTGACCTGACCAGGGTGTATCCCACCTTTCATCCACTGACTGCTGAAGAGAGGTACCCTACATGAAAACACAGCTAAATAAATAAAAACATTTATATTTGAACTAATCTTCTCTGGATTTTTAAGGTTTCTTTGTAGATTTGATTAGGTTCAGTAATGCTCAGTCAGGTCATCTGGACAGTTTCTGCTGTGGCTGCCTGCCTGGGAGGAGTCAACGA